CAATGCAGTGAAGAATGCACAGAAATGTAAATTGGGGAAACTAAACCACTACACAAACGCATGGCTCAACACAGAATGGCCAACTCCTCAGGTCAAGACAGTTTATTTACATCTGAAGGACAAAGGACACTTGATTGAGGATCACCAGGTGCACATTTTAGACAGAGAAGATGGATGGTTTGAAAGAGGTGTCAAGGAAGCCATTTACGCCCGGGTTGAGATGCCGTCGTTAAACAGAGGAGGGGGTCTACACCATCACTTTCATCACTTCCCAGGAAACTGAACAAGCATTCCCTCTTGGCCTCAGGTAAAGTTGCCAATGATGGTCGTTCAGACTTGGCCACGGGTGGCTCTAACTATGACGAGAGTCGTTACCACAGCGAGGAGCAGTAATGAACCAGCGGTATCAATGATCTTAGCTAACGATCCCATAGAGGTTAAATGGCTGAGTGTCCCTACCAGTCAGTCAGAACGTCTCGGGTTACGTATGTAACCCTGGTTCCCCGAGAAGGGGAACGCGACACTGCGTCGGTTATGACACTATGGGAACAGGTCTGAACGTGAATGAAATCAGGTCTGAACGTGAATGAAATCACTCCAATCCTATTGGTTTGTTGCTAGAACGGTAAGGTGTGACGGAATAACCGGAGGAGTATAAAGCACACCTGTACACACTCATCATTAGCTTAAACTATGAAGCAGGCGCTTCAGGCGGGGAGAGAGGTGCGGCGGGCCGACGCAGTGTTTCGTTCCCCTTCTCAGGGAACCAGGGTTACATACGTACATTCGAGGGATCTCGAACTGCGTCGGGAACGAGATACCTACTAAACCGTGCCGAAAACCCCGCCTGCCCCAGTGTGCAATAAAGTGGCACGACTAAGAGGAGAGCGCACGAGTGCCAGGTGCTGAAGGAAGGTCAAGACTTTAAAATCAAATGAATGTGTGCGGAGTGGTCCAGCCAGCCACTACACAAACATCCTGCAAAGAGGCAATGAAATGCCTGCAGCACTGTGGACCCTGCTGCACAAGAAGGCACTTTAGGGATGTATCCTGGACGAGGGTGCAGGATAGCCCTAATATTCCCCCGGGCAATCTCCAGACTTTGCAGGGAACCGAAAGCGCTTTGAGATCCCCCACCCTCCTCAGAGAGGTGATAACAAGGAGAAAGGCCATCTTGAGGGTCAAGTGCTTAGCCTCAGCTGACTCCAGGGGTTCGAAGGGGGCCTCAGCCAATGCCCCAAGAACCACCACCAGATCCCAAGTGGGAACCTTGGACCAAGTCGCAGCCGCCAGGAGACCCAACACTCGTTGAAAGTGTTTTATAGTGATGGCGTGGCCTAACTTCACCCCTTTCACGGCAGCCAATATGGTGTCAACACGTGCGGGAGACAATTGTGCCCGCATCGTTGTCGAATCCCATACTACCCCTAAGAACGTAGTCCGTTGGGTGGGCGCCAGCACACTCTTCTTTGCGTTGAGCCTTAGCCCTAAACGCAACAGATAAGCCAGAACGACATCTCAATGCCGAACCGGCAACTTTCGAGACTGGGCTAGGATGAGCCAGTCGTTGATGTAGTTGAAAATCCGGATGCCCTGGAGCCTCAGCGGGGCCAGTGCTGCATCCATACACTTGGTGAATGTGTGAGGGGAAATTGCCAGGCCGAATGGAAGAACCCGATACTGGTAAGCCACACCCCCGAAGGCGAACCTCAGGAACTTCCTGTGAGAAGGACGAATGGAGACGTGGAAATAACCAAACAATGGCTCACTACAGCCATGGAACTGTAAGGTACTTTCCAACTGAATAACACAAATGAGTATAATAACCAAAAGAGTGTCAGGTACTTTCCAACTGATTGTGTAGAAGTACCACATGTAGTGTATTGATGTAACAACCGTAATGTAATCAACTAAGAAATGAAAAGAATATGATTAACTACAAATGAAATGAAGAAGATCATGATTTTAATAGTATTGATTAAAATGTGTAAGTGTGTAAAGAATAAGAGAAGTGAAGGAACATGTTGAGAAATGTTGAGTTGACTGTGAAATACTGAGATGGGTGTAACGGTCTTATGACTATGAGTCATTGGAAGAGAAGGGTCAGCAAGGGGAAAGGAAATGGCCAAACAAGGACATCTCTGGCCCAACTGAATCTCTGGCCCAAAAGAATGATCAAGCTATGTGACAGTAGTCACGTAGACAGGAAAAGGGTGGTGGCTAATTGGGCAAAGAAAACTCAGCTACGGAGTAGGATATATACAGAGGAGTCAGAGAGAGATCGGGGTTATTCCTCGGCAGACCTCAGAGGCATTGGACTCGGAGCAAGACCATCACCGTACTGGACCAAGAGCCCAAGACAAGAGACGGGGATTTGAGCAGCAAACAACTAGAGAATACTTCAGAGATTTCTTCAGAGGACTTCAAGAGATCGCGCCACAGAGGGTAACCACAACATCCAAACCAACTGAAGAATCATTGGACTCTGAAGATTATCTCTCACTCAACTCCAACGAAGACTGAAGACTTTTGAAGACAATTTGAGGGCTTTGGACAAAGCCTCAGGTTTCCACCAGAGTCATCAGCCCAGCAGAGGAGGGAAAGAACTCCTTGGCCAGGACAACTCCTTCCCCTCTCTTTCTCTCCAAAAAGAAGACATCAAAATACTCAAGTTCAGCTATCATAATCAGGTTTTGAATTTTAGAAATTTTATCAGTTTACTTAGGTTTTAATCAGTTTTAAGTTGTATGCTTGCCCTTGCTTAAATTTGCTATAAAATATAATCACTGCATTTAAAGTACCAGTAGTAGACATTAAATTTATTTCTTCACTAAGGTAGTAATTCATTAGGTAAAGTGTGTTTAACATCTTTAAGGTTCTTATAGGTTGCTCTAGTCAACAAAATTAACTTATCCTTGAGGCCTATTTTCCTGGCCACTAAACACAAACCTAGCAACTATACCAAGAGCAGTTGTTAACGGGCGTGGCTGGGGTGGTATTTGGCTCTAGGGCTATTCAGTCAGGTAAGCTGGGTAGGTGTTCAGAAGAAGACAGTGAGAAGCTAGGCGAATCTCTTCAACACCAGCTTAAACAGTCTTCAGTTCGACCTAATAGGGTAATACCCATAGGCCTAGAGGATCGGACCCTTTATGACGGAGAGCTGGTCCAGTACCTCCTGTACAGCGGTAACTCGGGATTTATCACTTTCAACTGCTCACACTGTACTCAACAACTGGCTGACGAGCTGAATGGCTTTTACTGTAGGTTTGAAAAGTCACACTGTCTCACGCACATCAACACCAACTTCAAACAGTCACCTTCCCCCACTGTCATGCTTTCATCCCGCCTCTCTGGCCCCTCACCCACACTACTTCACTATGTGAAGTTCCCTCCTGCTTCAAACGCTCCACAATCATCCTGGTCCCCCAAAAAACTCCATCTATGGAATAAATGTCTACAGGCCTGTCACCCTGACATCTGTAGTCATGATGTCCTTCGAAAGACTGGTGCCCACTTGAAGGACATTACAGGACTCTTGTTGGACCCCCTGCAGTTTGCCTACAGGGCTAACAGGTCAGTAGATGATGCAGTTAACTTGGGACTGCATTACATCCTGGTATCAGACACTATCAGCACAGGCACCTCTCCAGGGGTGTGTGCTCTCCCCACTGCTCTTCTCCCTCTACACCATTAACTACACCTCAGGAGACCCATGTGTCAAACTTCAGAAGTTTGCTGACAACACAGCGGTCATTGGCCTCATCCGGGACAGTGATGAGTCAGCCTACAGACGGGAGGGGGACTCCTCTCTGCCCCCCACCACCATACTCAACAGCCCTTGGAATCTTTCAGGTTTCTGGGTTCCACCATATCCCAGCACCTAAAGTGGGAGCCCAACACTGACACCATCATCAAGAAGGCCCAGCAGAGGATGCGCCAGCTCAGGAAGCTCAACCTGCCTACGGAGCTGCTGATCCACTTCTACACAGCCATCATCCAGTCTGTCCTCTGCACCACCTCCATCACTGTCTGGTTTGGATCTGCCACCAAAAAGGACAGGGGCAGACTACAACGGAGAGTCAGGACTGCAGAAAAGATCATCGGTGCCAACCTGCCCCCCATTCAGGATTTATACATTTCCATAGTCAAGAAACGGGCAGGAAACATCACTGCAGATCCATCTCACCCCGGACACAAGCTGTTCCAACTTCTCCCCTCTGGTAGGCGCTACACCAAAACCAACAGACTCAGGAACAGTTTCTTCCCACAAGCCATCACTCAGATGAACAGCTGATTTCTGACTCATAGTGTCAGAACAATTCCTGTGCACCCAGCTTCCTCACGTTCATAATACTTGCACAAAATATGTACTTATTTATTCCAGCATCCTTTGCACTGTGCTCCATCGCACTGTGTACATGTGTATGTATGCATGTATGTGTACCTGCATATCAAACCCACTTCCGACATGTACATAAGTAATGATAATAACAAGTTTACTCCTGGATCCTTTGCACTCTGCTCACTGCACTATTTGTCAATGTGTCTATACTGTTTTTGTATCTGTTTATAGTGTGTATATCTGTGTTCTCTATACTGTAGCCTGTGTCTGATTTTATTATTCTGTTATTGTATTATTTTATGAGTAAGCAAATTGTGAGCAATGTACAATCCAAAGTCAAATTCCTCAGATGTGTACACATACCTGGGGAATAAAACTGGTTCTGATTCTGATTCTGATCATTTGCATCTTTTCATTGCATCTCTGTTTTTCCCATGTTAGATGCATGGAGAGATGCGAAGAAAGTGTCATTCCCCCCCCACCAGCTTTCTGACAGCTCTGATTGGATTGTTCTTGTTGCCAATCAGAGACAGAGTAGGGGGAGAGTAGGGGCAGGCCTTGACACAAAGCTGGTGGAAGTTGTCGCAAGGAAAACATGCAAGGAAAGAAGAAACGAGGAAATAGGTCCTTAGAGAAGCTGTGGCAGCTAATCATCAACTGTCAGTCAGTAGTAGAGACTTTATTATTCATTGAAGGCCTTACATACCCATACAGGTGCGCAGGATCTTTGAACTATCAAATTATAAAAATATGGATGCAAAATATAGTTCTTATTACTTAAAATAACAAAAATCCATTGGATACAAAGAATACATTCCCAATACTCAGTGTTTGTGATGATAACATGCAGCTCTTATTCAGTTTGTAATGACTAATTAACATCTACAAGAAGAAAACTTTCAGACATGAAAAGAATGTGTTGCATTGATGCCTGTAGAGTCTGGAGACTGTATTAAGAGATCTCACAGGTCAAATACAAAAGCTGACAAGGTGAACTTGAACTGAACAGAAAAGATGGTAACCTTCAGGCCTAGTCCCCACATAAGAAATACATGTTCAAAAAAGTGGTCACATCTATAAACACTAAGCCAGACCATACAATTGGATTTCTTATTCTAATGATCTCATACAAAGTACTGTAACTCAGAATGGTTTGGCCTCAGACAGTGTGATAATGACACATCAAAGTCATTGTTAATGTTTTGTGACGTTACAGAGCAAGGAAAGTCCCTCAACAACCTGGATTGATCTTATGTAAATCATGACACAAAAAGTTAGAATTTGTAAAGTCTAAGTACAGTGTATAATAAAGCGGACGAATAAAACCGCCATTATATTATATATATATTTAACACTTAAGAAACTCGTCCACATCATGTCATTTTCAGCAGCACTGTTCAGAGACATGAGGCGTTACACAGCCAATTTTTCCTGCTTGTAGCACATCAACTATGAGACAGTGTTTACCTGCTGCCTGATATATCACACCCACTGACAGGTGCCATGGTAACGAGATAATCGGTGTTATTCGCATCACCTGTAAGTGGTCATAACATTACGGCTGATAGGTGTATTTTTTAACTGTTTTTTTAAACCAAAGAAATTACCCTGACCCCTACAAACATTTGAGAAATTACTGATAAATACAAACTTTGTTCTGAATGATAAACACAAGCAGTTTGTTTAAAGCTGAAATCTAAAACTTCCTGCACACTGTCACCCTCTACAGCAGTGAGAGGAAACTGAAATGATGATCAAACTGCAGAGTTGTTGTGGAAGCTGGCTGCAACAATTTGAAATTGAAACACTTGCAAAGTGTGACAGAGCTCGGCTTCTGTTTGATTTCAGTGTTTAAATACAGACAGTACATGCTGTGAGATATGTCCTGTTCAATGTGTTTGTTTTGAACAGACTTTATTGGCTTTCATTACCAGGACAGGTGTGACGTGAAAGGGCAACCAGTATTTCTTAAAAACTATTTATTACATTAAAACTTTAAATAATATTTTACATACTGAGTTAAATACTGAGCGTATGTAATGTACCTGCACAGGTAAAAATATATGCTGCTGCTAATAAAAACTAAAAATGAAAACGTTCCTTGAAGGTAAATGTATCAACTTCCTCCACCTTCCCTCGTTCTACACTGGACTACTTCAGTGGCTTTTCTTTGTTCCGATCCAGGTGAGTCCCCTCTGGTTTGACTCCATCTGAAGAAAGTCACATACAGTTTTGGTTCAAGGCTGAGGCGTTGGTACAATCAGGACCAGACATCAACTGACGGGAAGGGAAAACAAGATCAGAGTTAAAGGCTTCATAAATGGAATTAGAGCAATTAGGTTTTATTTTAAAATGAATGTATAAGCCAACAAATTATAACCCAGAGTAAGTTTTGTCACTGTGGCCCAACAGCTTTCTCACCTCTATAGTCTCTATCTGTTCATTTGGTTCAGCGGTGGAGCTCAGAGTTTTCTTCTTCCTGAATTGAATCAAAAAACAAATAAATAAAAAGTTTAATTGATAACTCCAAAACTATGAAAGTAAATATTCATAGTAAATGTCAGTGATGGAACTGATTCATTCTTATAGTTTCACCTCAGACAAAACAGAAGTAGAGCAATTGGCATCACAACCACCAGAATCAACTTGATAATTCTTATCACTGATGATTTCTCTAGAAATGGAGATAGAAAGTTATTAGATAAACTGTGCTGGATCAGTTTGCCAGGTGATGCTCTTCTATTAATCAGCCAATTAGTGGCAAGGAGAAACGTACCTGCCACAAAAATCAGATGTAAGGTGGAGTTATGACGCCCTCTTCTGTTCTGGGCTTCACAGTAAAAATCCCACTGTGTTCAGCTCTGAAGTCAGTGATGGTGAAGTTCTGTCCTGATGCTTTTGGTGAGTCTTCATTCTCCTTGTACCAGGTATAATTAGCTGCTGGGTTAGCATCACTGCTACAGGTCAGAGTCAAACTGCCCTCCACTATCTCAGCAGAGGGACTCACTGACACAGAGGGAAGCTTTGGAGCATCTGGAGAAGAACATATATAGAAATAGAACAGTTATAACATAAAATAGCTAGTCATTATTTATCTGATCCATCTGCTCCACTTGATAAGCTGTGCTGCAGGTTCCCAACATGGTAAGAGAGAAAATGTGTGACTATGACATTGAGTGAAAATACAGACATTTACATGGTGAATTACTCCTAATCCATTAAAGCGGTAAGCACAGCAAAAAACACCAAACAACCAAAATCACAGCACGTCACAAAAAGCATGACGACAGAGCGCTGAAAGAATCATTGGTCCCTGTAGTCACCTCTCCTGTCTCTGCAAAATGCTGTTTAAAGTTTAGCCGAAGCAGACATGAGGTCTCAATAGTCCCAGTATTTGTCCTACTAGTTGTGTGTAGGTTTACTGTCAGTGTATTGGGAAGAAACCTACATACTACAAGATCGCTGACGTAATTTGCACTCTGCGCATGCGTTGGCGTCTGTAGCCACCTGTCAGAAGCTCCATCTTAAACCGGACTCTTATCCAGTTTTAATCCACACTTTTGTTACATTTTTTATATCCTTTTTATTTAACTTAACTTTTTAACTTAAGTTTTACGTGGGTTAAGGATTTTAGTTATCCGACATGGATTTTAAGTTAGATGACCGTAAAAACTCCATCAACGCTACTGACCACAACAAAGCTCTGGTGACTATGCTAGCTGAGATAACTCTGCCACATGAGGACTGCACACTCCTTAAGAAAGCGAACAAAAAGATTGCTGACCTTATGGAAGACATCCAACGACTTTCAAAGGAACTCAAAGAGAAAGATTCCCTGCTGACTGGCTTTATGGACGTGGCTTCAGTACAAGCCAAACAGATTGTTTCTCTTTGCGCAACCGCTAACATCCAGGACACCATGCTATGGGACCCCTCTACCCTTCCATGGCTTTCCTCTTGCTCGATTCCGAAGCATCAGTCAACCTGGGCTGAAGTGGTGGTCCGTGGCTGCAAGAGAGGCTCGGACGGGGCTCTCCTCCGCACATCAGCCTCTCCAACCGCTATGCAGCCCTGTCTGATGACGCTCCGGTCCATCCAGCGGATGCACCTGCGGCTTCGAGTCTCCCTGATACGTATCTCTTTCGACGGATAAGAATGTCTCTTTTTAAGACAGACGAACTTCACCCAAACAAACGGGGTTCAGAAAAGTTAGCTGCTCACACACAGCATGTAGTGCAGTCCACACATGACTTACGTGAATGACTAATCATTCATGCAACACACCTGGACACACCACCGCTCACTGAACAGAACTCTGCCTCACTGCCACAAACAACTGTCTCCACCTACTGGCATGTAAAGCCATCTGCTTCCAGCGCTGTTCCAAAGACTTCTATTCCTGTCATCATCACGCATAGACCAGTAAACCGAAACGTGCACATCCCACACAGAAATAATAGTAATCTCTAAATCTCTCTAAAAATTAGGACAACTGCACCAACTCCAGCACCCAGAACAAACTCATTTAAAATGGCTCTCTTCAATGTGAGATCACTTTCAGGTAAGACTTTTATCTTAAATGATTTTATCTTGTCTGCAAATCTAGATTTTATGTTTTTAACTGAATCCTGGTTGCAGATGAATGACTATAGCCAGCTAGCTGAACTGTGTCCGCCTCAATATGATTGTTTTAGTCAACCGAGGGTCAGTGGTCATGGTGGTGGGCTAGTGAGCCTGTATAGGAAAAATTTAAAATGTCATCAAGTACGCTGTGATGAATTTAACTCCTTTGAAGTTCTCACTCTTAAAGTTGGAGGGCTGCAACCTATCATATTTGTTATATTTTATCGCCCCCCAAAACCGCCTGGAAGAACCTTCCTGAATTTTTATCTACTCTGGTTTTAAATTATGACAGAATTGTTCTTTGTGGCGATTTTAATATTCATGGTGATGACCTCACAAATGTTATTGCAACTGACTTTTTAAATATGGCCACTTCTTTTAGCTTCAAACAACATGTCAAAGGTGTCACGGTAAGTGGTGTGGTGAAGCAGGTTGGAGGACCCAAACGCAGGACACAGAATGGAGCAGGTATAGTTCGAGGGTTTTAATTAAACAAAAGGTGAGCACACTTACAAACTGAGTGGCTGAAAGACTAAGTCCAAAACAAAGGTTGTCCAACAGAAAACCAAAACGAGCAGGGAAACATGGAGACGCAACAAGAAACACACACTGCAACTCAAGGTGACAACATACAATGATCCGACAAGGACAAGACAGAAACACCAGGTATATATACACAGGGACTAACGAGCAGGGCGGGAGCAACACAGGTACAGACATTAGACTAACGAGGCAGGCAGAGAGAGAGAGAGACAGTGAGCAGAGGGAAACAGAGAGACTGACATGCAGGCAGAGTGACAACCGGGGGAACAGACGGAACACAGGTCACTGAACACAAAACAGACCAGAGTGAACACTTAACATGAACTAAGGCACAGGACTGGGAACAAGGACAACGAACTGAAACACAGGACCAAAAGCTAAGATAAAAGACTACATAAACTACTAAGGACAAGGAATGAGAAAAACAGGCAAATAGATATATGAAACAATGGCTCAACTCAAACCCACAGGGAAAAACTACAACTCATAACAAAAGGGCAAACACATAACCGTGGTCATACACTGGACTTGGTTTTTACCCTAGGTGTCAGCATTTCCTCTGTGGAATTAGTGGACATGACCATATCTGACCACAGATGTATTGTTTTTAGCTGCATTCGCCTGTTACTCATGCCGCCTCACCAAGCTCCGTGTGTTCTCGCATCTTCAATGAACAAAGTGTTTCAAAGTTTTGCACATTCTTTCAGAGCCAAAGCCAACACCTGTCTGATTCCACACCAACAATCTGGTCGATCACTTCGATCATATCTGCTTGTCGTCACTAAATATTACTGCTCCTCTAAAGGTTAGGCCTACGTCTAAAGCTAGTAAGCAACCCTGGATAAATGACAGCATTCGCAGCCTAAAAAGGGAATGCAGGAAAGCAGAGCACAGATGGAAAAAATCCAGTCTCCAAGTCCATTACCTCAGTCTGAAGGATTTATTAATTAACTACAATAACATGGTTAAGGATGCGAGAACACACTTTTTTCTGAACTCATTACTACACATAAACACAATCCCAGGTTTCTGTTTAAGACTGTGGATCAGCTGGTAAACCCAACCCCTCCTTGTGCCTCAGCTGGAAGTAATGATGACTGTGAACTGTTTTTATCTTATTTTACCAATAAGGTGGTGTCAATCAGAGCCTCTATTACCCCCGCGGCCTCTTACTCAGAGGTTCCTCACCAGCAACAAGAGAGTTTTAACCAGTTTTATCCCATCGACTTGTCTGAGCTTTTAAAAACAGTATCACAAATGAGAGTGTCCTCCAGCCTACTTGATGTAATATACAAAGTTTTTACTGAAAGTAATGGATTCTGTTGGGCCCCATTTGATCTCTGTTTTTAACAGCTCCCTATCTACTGGTTGTGTCCCTGATTATTTTAAAACCGCTTGCGTGAACCCACTTTTAAAGAAACCTTGTTTAGATCCCTCTCTCCATGAAAATTTTAGTTTCTAAACTGCCTTTTATTGCAAAGATTCTAGAAAGAATTGTGTCCAAACAGCTGCTCACTGTGCTGGAAAATAAAAATTATTTGAAAAGTTTCAGTCTGGTTTTAGGAAGTACCACAGCACTGAGACTGCCCTGCTTAAAGTCACCAATGACCTTTTAATGTCTGCTGATGATGGCATGTGCTCAGTCCTGGTACTCCTGGACTCCTGGCGCTGCTTTTGACACCATTGATCACAACATCATGTTGGACAGACTGAGGCACTGGGTGGGGATCTCTGGTACTAGAATGGTTTTCATCCTACCTGTCAAATAGAAAGTTTTCCGTGTCTGTAAACAACTATGTCTCTTCGTTCTGTACAGTTAAATATGGTGTGCCTCAGGGGTCGGTCTTAGGACCCATTTTGTTTTCCTTGTATCTGCTTCCCCTTGGACATATTATCGATAAACATGGTATTTTTTTTCATATTTATGCTGATGACACACAAATATACTTGCCCGTCAGATCCACAGACCCTGGAATGCTGAGTTCACTTAACAACTGCCTTTGTGAAGTTAAAAAATGGATGTCAAATAATTTCCTCCAGCTGAACTCAGACAAAACAGAAATCCTGGACATTTGGTCCCAGCAGATAGCAAAACAAATACTGCCATCTGCTGGTTCCCTAGTAAATCACATTAAACCTGTTGCAAAGAACCTTGGTGTCTGATTTGATAGTAATTTAAATTTCAAGCAGCACACCACAAAGCTTGTTTAATCATGTTTTTATCAACTTAGAAATTTAGCAAAAATTTGATCTATGTTAACTTTTAAGGACACCAAGACCATTTTACACGCCTTCATCTCATCACACCTGGATTATTGCAACAGCCTTTTCACTTGTTTAACCCAAAAATCTACTGATCGACTCCAGACTGTCCAGAACTCAGCTGCCAGGCTTTTAACCAGAACAAAGAAATATGACCACATTACCACTATTTTAGCTTCATTACACTGGCTCCCAGTATGTTTTAGAATTGACTTTAAAATTTTATTGATCACTTTTAAA